CTACTTGGACCTCCAACCCAACAGACCTTGTGATGTTAGAGGTATCTGTAGTGGGGAAAGATGCCATGTGAGGCTTAAGGCAAAGCCCCAGCAGGAAAATCTCAATGCAGACCTCCTAGAACTCTGGAGTAAGGCAATGCTATCTGCAGAAAAGAACTATAAATTTTTCAAAAACAAAACTGTCATGCTACTGGGCCCTGGTAGAGATGGAGCGTGAGGCCATGGTGACATCAAGTAACCATGAGCCAGAACTGCCAGCATGAGCTGGTTCTGTCAGACCCACGGAGAGGTGGGCGTGCAGCTGTCCATTGCAAATTGGAAGTGGCTCATTTAGTGCTAGGTACAAGCAGGCCCAACCAAGCTTCTCGTGTGGCCCAGAACCCATGACATCATTGGTGCTGGCACTGGTACTTCTAAAGGGGGCAGTCTTAAGACCAGCTGATGGAGGCAGGAAAAGTTCGAGCTTGATTCATGGTGGGTGGGCTCTGAACAGCCTGATTTAGGTAGCCCTGGAAGACAGCGCTCAAGGGAAACCCAATGGGTAGAACGTTGGGTGGTGCCCTTGACTACTTGGTGTGGAAGGAGAAGTGGCCCCAGTGTTAACACATTTGGAACTCTTGGGCAATGGTTAGTGGCTTGACAGGTTGCTCAGGTACCTGGAATAAGAAAGATTGGAAGATCAGGGGCTTCCTGGAGTAAGGCATGTGGAGGGATCTGTGGGAACAGACATGAAGTACATCCCACCTGAGAACATCCCCCATGAGGACACACTAAACCACCACATTAATAGGATGACTTGGCCAGTTGACATCTACTACCCTCTGCCATCTGCTGTGCCCATGCTGGCACACTGGGCTCTCTCATGGAGTAATCATGGGGTGGGTAGATGCTGGGCATGGCCCATAGCTTGGGGCTCCCCCTCACCAGAGCTGACCTAGCTATTTCTCTGCTGAACATCCAGTCTTCCAACAACAAAGACCAAACACTGAGTCCCCAGTTGCACCTTCCTTGGAGGGAAACAGTCATTTGACAACACTGAACCCCTTGTGCCCTAGAAGGTACAGTGATTCATCTTGGCTGGAACCAACACATGTTATAGGCATGGGTTTGCCTTTCCCGTTCTCATGGATTGAGTCAGCTCTGTCACCCAAGTTTCACAGAGTGATTGATCCACAGGATCCCGCACACAGCCAAGGAACTGCAGCAGTGGACACATGAGAATGGGACCCACTGGCTCCCTCACAGCCACACACCAAGAAGCTGCCAGCCTGATGGAGCAGCAGGATGGTCTGTGGAAGGCACAGCTCACCTCGTGGGCAGCCTGGAGGTGACACCTGCAATGAAGCAGTCACCTCCAGGGTGCAGTCTGCACTGCAAATCACTGACCAGTACTGGTGCAGTGTCCTTGGTTTGTGTGATAAATGGGTCTGGGAACCAAAAGGTGAAACTCATCACTCCCAGTGACCCACTTAGAAATCTGTATTTCTCCCCCACACTCCTCTGGGTTCTTAAGGTTTAAAGGTCTTGACTCAAAGAGAAAACCTTTCCAGCAGGGGCAAATGAAGAATGCCATATAATTTCCAGCTCTGGCTGCTGCCTGGTTATTTCGAGCTCCTCGTGCCAAGAGACTGGCTGGCAAGGAATGTAATTTCCATCTTCTGGGGTGACTGACCATGGGCATCAGATGGAGGTAGAGCTGTTACTGCCACCACACCTGGCTACCACCACACTTGGCACCACACTGGGGGCAGAGACGCACCCAGGTGATGTGATTGGCCACCTCATGGTCCCCTGCCCAAAGTTGATGGCAAATGCAGGGGCTATGGCCAGAGAAGGGCATGGTGGCCAGGGGCTTACCTCTCAGGGATGAGAGTTTGGGTTACCTGATCAGGTAAACTAAGCCACCTAGAGCAGTAGAGGAGCTAGGCAAGGGTGAGGATGAACCCTAGCATGGGCAGTAGAGTGGGGAGATGAATGTAATTTGCAACCTCAAGGCCAGCTGCAGCAACAAGATGTAGTTCATCCCAGTACCTTCCCTTTTTAAATTTCCCCAGGAAAAGGCCCACCAGAATCCTGCAGGAGCTGCTCCCAACGTCTCTGAAGCAAGTGGCTATGAGCAGCACAGTGTGGACTGTAGCGAGCACTGTGGTGCCCATATGCCCCTTTAGTACTGAAGCACTGTCCCTGCTCCTGGGACAGCCCCTCCCCAATTGCCTGGCTGCAAAGAACTTCTTTGCTCAAGGGTCCACCCCTTCCCCAGGAGTGACTGGTCCAGTGACTAGTTTGTGCAGGGGTATAAAAGCCCAGCTGCCTTGACCCATTGGGAGACACCTCTGCAGGACTGTGCTCAGCCCAGGGCAGACCTTTGAGTGACTGCATCTTAGCCATCGTCTTCCTTGGTTGGATTGTGCCTCCTTCACTCTCCAATCACCTTTTCAAATGCAAGCCTTCATCACAGAGGTGGTCTCCCAGGGGACCCCACCTTTGCCAGTGTTACGTGCATAACATCTTCGTGTACATAAGTGGGGAGATTTGGTCATTATTTTTAAAAATGAAGTCATCATCTTCAGTCAATCACTATAGCTGGAGTCATTTTCCCCCCTGCAATCTATGTTTTAACAAGGTCATTCTTTTTAGTGGCTATGTATTTCATGATGTGGATATTATGTAATTTATTCCTCAGTTTTCTTCTGATTGGTATCTACTTTATTTTCAGTCCTTTGCCAAAATGAGCAATACTGCTATAAACATTTTGGTTTAAACCTGTTTACTGTTGCATATATTTCTGTGAAACAGCCAAGAGTGAGATTATTTGGTTAGATGATTGATATTATTTTCTGTTTTTGTTGAGACAAGAACACTGTCTCTCTCTCATATATATATATGGCTGGGGTATATATAGATAAGTGTGTATATATATGTGTGTATGGGTATGTGTATATGTATATAAAAAGCAGCACACATATCCTAAGTTAAGTTTAGGTCAAAATTTCACAAACCCACACCCAGTTCAGGAAACATCACTAGCATTCCCAGAGGCCCATGTTAAGCTCCCTGTGACCCACTCCTCCCAATTCCCAAGAGTGATGTACGCATTACTAATTTTAATAAGTCTTGACTGTTTGCCTTCTAGAAAGAGTCTAACTATTTACATTTTTACCAGCAATACATGAGACTACCTCTTCCCCTCCGTTTTCAGTTATAGTTAACTTGCATTTCCCTGAGTATTGTATTCATTTCCTGTTTGGGTTTTCTGTTTTGTGTATTGCCTTTTCCTATACTTTGCTCATTTTTCTGTTGAATTGTTTGTCTTATCTTGTAAATATATGAGAACTTGTTGTATATATAGCAATTAACTCTTTGTCATTTTTGTTCCAAATAGTTTTCCCAATGCATTTATTTTCTTTTTGATGTGGTGCTAGTTGTACCAGCCTTATTAATTAATCTATCCTTTTCTATTGGATTGGAATACTATCTTTGCTGTATATAAAGTCTTGGGATCAGTCTCTGGGTTGTGCGTTCTGTTCTACAGGTCTTTTCTCTCTTTTTTTTTTTCTTTTTAAGCTTACATTTTTTTTTTTTTTTCCCAAGATGGAGTCTTGCCCTATCATCCAGGTTTGAGTGCAGTGGCGCGATCTCAGGTCACTGCAACCTCCGTCTCCCAGGTTTAAGCAATTCTCCTGCCTCAGCCTCCCAAGTAGCTGGGATTGCAGGTGCTTGCCACCACACCTGGCTAATTTTTGTATTTTTAGTAGAGGCGGGATTTCACCATGTTGGCCAAACTGGTTTTGAGCTTCTGACCTCAGGTGATCTACCTGCCTTGGCCTCCCAAAGTGCTGGGACTACAGGCGTGAGTCACCGCACCTGGCCTAAGCTTACATTTCTTGTCTCTTTGTATTTTGAAATTATTTATTAAATTAAAATATCCCTGTAGAGTCTTCAGTTGGAATTGCCTTAAATTTAGAAGAATTAAACATTTTGTGATATATATCCTAATGCTGTGGCTTTTCATTTGTACAGATCTTTTTTTATGCCATTTAATAAGATTTTACATTTTCATCATTGAGAGCCTTGTATCTTTTTTTGTTGTATTTATTCTAAGTATAATGTTTTTATATTGTAAGTGGAATATTTTCCGCTATTTGCATTTCTAGGTTGTTATTTTTCCTGCAGAGGAAATGTATGTCACAGTGGTTAAGAGCACAGACTCCCAAATCATATTGCCTGGGATTGGATCCTGGTTCTGTCACTTACTGTTCAGCCCAGGCTTATTGAAATTAAAACAAAAATCTAAATTAGAAGTTTGTTTTAATGATGTTTTACTGAACCTTTAATTGCTCCACTGCAGTATTCAGTCTAAGAATTTCCCTAAACCTTTAATAATACTTTTAAGGTTTCTATAAATGTTGCCTTAGGTTTTTAGAGTCATGTATTCAAATGCAAATGCCAAATAATGATTTTTTTTTTTTTTTTTTTTTTTGAGACTGAGTCTCACTCTGTCGCCCAGGCTGGAGTGCAGTGGTGCGATCTCAGCTCACTGCAAGCTCCGCCTCCCGGGTTCACGCCATTCTCCTGCCTCAGCCTCCTAAGTAGCTGGGACTACAGGTGCCCGCCACCGTGCCCGGCTAGTTTTTTGTATTTTTTTTTAGTAGAGACGGAGTTTCACCATGGTCTGGATCTCCTGACCTTGTGATCTGCCCACCTCAGCCTCCCAAAGTGCTGGGATTACAGGCGTGAGCCACCCCGCCTGGCCCAAATAATGATTTTTAATAAATGTTTTATTATATAGAGCTATCTTCAGTTAACTTGAAGGTACTTTACATAAATATTTATTGCAATGGTACTAAGCATTTTACTTGTGAATTTTATTACATTGTTTTAAGTAAGTTAATAAGGAATAAATAAGCATGATTATAGAGGTTATTTCAGTGTTAACTGTATTACTTAGATATTAGTGTTTCTTTAATGCCCCATGTTTCTTTTTTTGTTGTTTTTAAAAGCTACAGAAGTGATAAACAAGTCCAGTGTTAAGTATTCAGTACAACTTGAAGGTGGGAAGAATCGATCACCAGAAAAAAAGGTAAATCATTGCAAATATGAGTAATTTTAAACAGATAACACTCCTTTGTTCAACAGATACTTATTAAGTGTTCTACTATGTGCTAAGCACTGTAGATCTAACACCTAAAAAAAAAAAAAAAAAAGTGTTCTTGCTCTCCAAGAGCTTATAGTTTAATTTGGATGTGGGGAGGGGCAAGTAAGTGCCATGAGAGAAGTAAGTTCAGAGTGCTCTGGGACAATAGGAGAGACATCTAACTCAGTTTTGTGCTATTTCATTTTGCCCTTCTGGGTGTTGAGGAGAAGAATCAGGGATGTCTTTCTGAAGTATGAAAATTATATCTGAGTTGAGATCTGTTGGATGATTAGGAGTTGATCAACCTAGGCTGGATGCAGTGGCTCACACGGGTAATCCTAGCACATTGGGAAGCTGAGCAGGGTGGATCACTGGAGGCCAGGAATTTGAGACCAGCTTGGGCACCATAAGGAGACTCTGTCTCTACAAAAAATAATACAAAAAAAAAAAAATTAACTGAGCATGGTGGCCTGCTCCTGTAGTCCCAACTACTCAGGAGGCTGAGGCTGGAGGATCACTTGAACCAAGGTGTTCGAGGCTGCAGTGAGCTGTGATTGCACCACAGCACTCCAGCCTGGGCAATAGAGCAAGACTCAGTCTCTAAAAAATAGAAATAAAAAATAAAAAGATCCCCACCTTTAAGGGAGTAGGGGCAGGACATTGAGAACATTTTCAAATAAGGGAAGAAAGCTTGGAACTTTGGGTAGTGGGAATAATAGAAGTTCAGAAAGGTAGGGATATAACATTCACAATGGGTTTGTTATGTGGCACGGGCTAGAGAGGAGATATAAGAAGAGGTTGTGGCCGGGCGCAGTGACTCACACCTGTAATCCCAGCACTGTGGGAGGCGGAGACGGGCAGATTATGAGGTCAGGAGATGGAGACCATCCTGGCTAACATGGTGAAACCCCGCCTCTACTAAAAATACAAAAATTAGCCAGGCGTGGTGGCGGGCGCCTGTAGTCCCAGCTACTCAGGAGGCTGAGGCAGGAGAATGGCGTGAACCCGGGAGGCAGAGCTTGCAGTGAGCTGAGATCGCTCCACTGCACTCCAGCCTGGGCAACAGAGCGAGACTCCATCTCAAAAAAAAAAAAAGAAAAGAAAAGGTTGTATCACCAAAGACCTTGTGTATGAAAGTGGTAGAGGCAACATAATGTTTAAGAGAATGGACTTTGGAGTAAACTACCTGTGTTCAAGTCCCAAGCTAACTAAATTTAAACCTAAACTCCCTATAGTAAAGTGAGATAATAGGACGTGTCTCTTGGGTTGATGGGATAATTATTTGTCCCTGGGTTCATAGGATGATTATCTGCCCTTGGAGTGGAGAGAAGAGGCATCTTCCACAGAGAAGGGACTCTTCTCTTCTTCCCTCTGTAAATGAATGGAAATTGTATCTCTCAGTGGTGAACAAACTGCTCCTTGAATCCCGAAGGCAGGGGTCTGCAAACTTTTTGCTCCCTTTCTCTCAAAATAATTTTGTTGTTTTTGTTTGTTTGTTTGTTCGAGACAGCCCCTCACTCTGTCGCCCAGGGTGGAGTGCAGTGGTGTGATCACAACTTACTGCAATTTTCACCTCTACCTCCGCCACCGTGCCCAGCTAATCAATTGAGTCCTGGACTCAAGTGATCCTCCCAACTCAGCCTCCCAAGTAGCTGACACTAGAGGCACACACTATCATTGCCCAGCCAATTTTTGTATTTTTGGTAGAGACAGGGTTTCACCATGTTGCCCGGGGTGGCCTCAAACTCCTGGGCTCAAGCAATCCTCCCGCCTTGGTCTCCCAAAGTGCTGGGATTACAGGTGTGAGCCCCCATGCCTGGCCATCTCAAACTGTGTGTACTGCCTGATATATTTTAAAGTTGAAATTTAAAATCTTTATCACAAGTTTAAAAAATTGCAAAGTACGTGATTTCTGCTCTATTGTTAATATTGACATTTTTACTGTTACATTATTTAAAATATATTCACAAAAATTAAATACTGCACTTTGACAATTTGATATCCACAATCATCTCATTATTATTATTATTATTATTATTATTATTATTTGGAGATGGAGTCTTGCTGTGTCACCTTCACTGGAGTGCAGTGGCGCGATCTCGACTCACTGCCACCTCCACCTCCTGGGTTAAGCAATTCTCCTGCCTCAGCCTCCTGAGTAGGTGGGATTGATTACAGGTGCCCACCACCACACCCAGCTAATTTTTGTATTTTTAGTAGATATGGAGTTTCACCATGTTGGCCAGGCTGGTCTCGAACTCCTGACCTCAGGTGATCTGCCCGCCTCGGCCCCCTAAAGTGTTGGGATTACAGGTGTGAGCCACCGTGCCTGGCCTATTTTATTTATTAATTTATTTATTTACTTATTTATTATTTTTTGAGATGGAGTCTCACTCTGTCACCAAGGCGGGAGTGCAGTGATGCGATCTTGGCTCACTGCGACCTCTGTTTCCCGGGTTTAAGCGATTCTCTTGCCTCAGCCTCCCGAGCAGCTGGGGTTACAGGCGCACACCACCATGCCCGGCTAATTTTTATGTTTTTAGTAAAGACAGGGTTTCACCATATTGACCAGGCTGGTCTGGAACTCCTGACCTCATGATCCACCTGTCTGGGCCTCCCAAAGTGTTGAGATTACAGGCGTGAGCCACCATGCCCGGCCTCTTTTTATTATTATTATTATTTTGAGACTTTCTCACTGTGTCGCCCAGGCTGAAGTACAGTGTAGTGTGACCATGGCTCACTGTAGCCTTGACCTCCTGGGCTCAGGTGATCCTCTCCCCTCAGCCTCCTGAGTAGCTGGGACTATAGGCACATGACACCACGCCCAGCTAATTTTTGTATTCTTTGTAGGAAGACAGGATTTTGCCATTTTGCCCAGGCTGGTCTTGAACTCCTGGGCTCAAGCAGTCCTCCTGCCTCAGCCTCCCAAAGGGCCAGGATTACAGGTGTGAGCCCCTGTGCCCAGCCCACAATAATCCCCTTAAAAAAGACAGAGCAAGATCTTCAACAGTTTGAAATTTTATATTTTTCTTTTTCTCCTTGAATTCCTTTCTTGTTTACTCCTCCACGGAATTTTTAATGTAATTTTATGCTTGAAAGCCTACTCTTGGAAACCATGTATTTATCTGAAACAAAAATACAAGTATGCATTAAAAATTTTCATGACATATGACCAAGCGTTAAAACATTTTCTTTCAAAATTATTTAAAAGGTAATATTAATATAGTCATTCAAAGCAACATATATATATGTGTGTGTGTATATATATATATAAAATAAGCCTCGACTGTGTACGTTGGCTCACACCTGTAATCCTAGCACTTTAGGAGGCCAAAGCAGGTAGATTGCTTGAGTCCAGGAGTTTGAGACCAGCCTGGGGAACATGGTGAAACCCCACTCTACTAAAAATAGAAAAATTCGCTGGGTGTGGTGGTGAACCCCTGTAGTCACAGCTACATGGGAGGCTGAGGTGGAAGGATCACCTAAACCAGGGACATGGAGGTTGCAGTGAGCTGAGATTGTGCCACTGCACTTCAACCTGGGCAATAGAGCAAGACCCTGTCTCAAAAAAAAAAAAAAAGGAAAAGAGAAGAAACCTTAAAAATAAAGTGTTATCATAAATAAGTCCTATAATGAAATGGATAGGATTGCTTTCCCCACCTTGATTAGTTTGTGGATCTATGAATGTATATTGTACATTGATGGAATGAGAATGAGACAGGTAGAGAACTGCTATTGAGTTGGGTTTAATTTTTTTTTTTTCAAGACAGAGTCTTGCTCTGTCACCCAGGCTGGAGTGCAATGGCGCGATCTTGGCTCACTGCAACCTCCACCTTCTGGGTTCAAGTGATTCTCCTGCCTCAGCCTCCTGAGTAGCTGGGATTACAGGCATGCGCCACCATGCCCAGCTAATTTTTGTATTCTTAGTAGAGACGAGGTTTCTCCATGTTGGCCAGAATGGTCTTGAACTCTTGACCTCGTGATCCGCCCACCTCAGCCTCCCAAAGTGCTGGGTTTACAGGTGTGAGCCACTGCACCTGGCCCCAAAAATTTTTTTTAGTAGATAGATTAACATATTATTAAATAGTTTTGGTGATTTCATTTTCTATATAAATGGTCTTTACTTGGAAGTTGTAAATTATTAATCTTCTCTCTTATGCACATATGCAACATACTCCTATCCATGACATCTTTCATTACATGCATTGATTCCCGGAACAGGGGCTTGTTAGAGGCTTTTGAGCTTTTTTTTTGAGACAGAGTTTCGTTCTTGTCACCCAAGCTGGAGTGCCATGGTGCAGTCTCAGCTCACTGCAGCCTCCACCTCCTGGATTCAAGTGATTCTTCTGCCTCAGCCTCCCGAGTAGCTGGAATTACACAGGCGCCTGCCACCATGCCCAGCTAATTTTTGTATTTTTAGTAGAGACGGAGTTTCACCATGTTGGCCAGACTCATCTCAAATTCCTGACCTCAAGTGATCCACCTGTCTCAGCCTCCCAAAGTGCTGGGATTACAGGTGTGAGCTACTATGCCTGACTGGCTTTTGAGCTCTTGATCCAGATATGCATGCCTACCTTGGTTGAGAAAAATCACTGCTCTAGAAGACACTATGTGGTTTCCTTAGAAGGTCTGATCATAGAGGCCGGGCACAGTGGCTCACGCCTGTAATCCCAGCACTTTGGGAGGCTGAGGCAGGTGGATCACCAGGTCAGGAGATTGAGACCATCCTGGCTAACACAGTGAAACCCCATCTCTACTAAAAATACAAAAAAAAAAAATTAGCTGGGCATGGTGGTGGGCGCCTGTAGTCCCAGCTACTCGGGAGGCTGAGGCAGGAGAATGGCGTGAACCCGGGAGGGGAAGCTTGCAGTGAGCCCAGATCGCACCACTGCACTCCAGCCTGGGCGACAAAGCCAGACTCTGCCTCAAAAAAAAAAAAAAAAAAAGAAGTTTTGATTATAGATAATATGAAGATTGTGTCTCTGTATTACTTTAGACAAGTTTTTACCAGAAATTAGTTTGGTTTATAAATCTGTCTTATGAATCCATATTCTAATGAAATATTTTCCATTTTTCTGTAGAATCTTAAATCTTCAAGAAGTCAGACATCAAGAGGTTCCGCCAAGCTCTCTCCTCAGTCCTTCGGTGTCAGACTCACAGATCAGCTATCTACTGACCAAAAACAAAAGAGCATCAGCTCATTGGCTCTTTCAAGTTGTTTAATTCCACAGTATAATCAAGAGGCTTCAGTTCTACAGAAAAAGGAGCATGAAAGAAAGCATTTCCTAATGGAGAATATAAATAATGAAAATAAAGGAAGTATTAATCTTAAAAGAAAACATATTACATATAATAATTCTTCAGAGAAAACAAGTAAACAAATGGCATTGGAAGAAGGTACTGATGAGGCTGAAGCCCACCTAAATTCTGGGAACTCAGGAGCATTGAAAAAACATTTTTGTGATATTAGGCATTTGGATGATTGGGCAAAAAGCCAGCTGATTGAAATGCTCAAACAGGCAGCAGCCCTGGTGGTAACTCTGATGTATACTGATGGTTCCACCCAGTTAAGAGCTGACCAGGTTAGTAAACAATGATGGTTTTTGTTTGCTGTCTTGACACCATAAAAGAAGCCCATTTTCTTAGTGTCTGATTTTGATAGGAGAGCTAGAAACAAGATTTTAAGGCTTTCCCTCACCTCCAGTGGTAAGTGATTGACAATGTATAGCTCCCATCAGTTTCTTAGGAAACTGCAAAACTGTTTTCCAGAGTGGGTGTACCATTTTACTTTCCACCAGCAGTGTACTAGGGTTTCAAATTCTCCACCTCCTTGTCAACACTTGTTTTTGTCTTTTTTTTTTTTATTTTAGCCATTCTAGTGATTCTGAAGTGGTATTTCATGGTGGTTTTAAATTGTATTTCCCTATTACCTAGTGACATTGAGCATCTTTTCATGTGCTTATTGGCCATTTGTATATCTTCTTTGATATCTTCTTTCTGTTTTGATGATTTGATGAAATATCTGTTCAAATTTTTTACCCATTTTAAAATTGGGTTATTTGTGTTTTATTTTGGATCTGTAAGCATTCTTTATATATTATGATACAAGTCTCTTATAAGATATATCATTTATACTTCTGCCAATTTCTGGCTTATTTTTAAAGAATTTATTGAGGGTGTCTTTTGAAGCACAAAATTTTAAAAATTTGATCTCTGTTGATTTTTAAAAAAAAATCTTTCCCTCCCTCCCTCTCTTCTTTCCCTCCCTCCCTCCCTCCCTCCTTCCCTCCCTCTCCTTTCCTCTTTTTTCCTCTTCTTTCCTCTCCTTTCCTGCACCCATCACCTAAGCAGTATACACTGCACACAATTTGTAGTCTTTTATCCCTCACCCCCTTCCCACCCTTTCCTCCTGAGTCCCCAAAGTCCATTGTGTCATTCCTATGCCTTTGCATCCTCATAGCTTAGCTCCCACTTATGAGTGAGAACATACAATGTTTGCTTTTCCATTCCTGACTGACTTCACTTAGAATAGTAGTCTCCAGTCTCATCCAGGTCACTGCGAATGCCGTTAATTCATTCATTTTTATGGCCGAGTAGTATTCCATCATATGTATATAGCACAGTTTCTTTATTCACTCCTTGATTGATGGGCATTTGGGTTGGTTCCACATTTTTGCAATTGCAAATTGTGCTGCTAAACCATGCATGTGCAAGTATCTTTTTCATATAATGACTTCTTTTCCTCTGGGTAGATACCCAGTAGTGGGACTGCCGGATCAAATGGTAGTTCTACTTTTAGTTCTTTAAGGAATTTCCACACTGTTTGCCATAGTGGTTGTACTAGTTTACATTCCCACCAGAAATATAGAAGTGTTCCCTGTTCGCTGCATCCATGCCAATATCTATGATTTTTTGACTTTTTGATTATGGCTATTCTTGCAGGAGTAAGGTGGTATTGCATTGTGGTTTTGATTTGCGTTTCCATGATCATTAGTGATATTGAGCATTTTTTCATACATTCGGTGGCCATTTATATATCTTCTTTGGAGAATTGTCTATTCATGTCCTTAGCCCGCTTTTTGATGGGATTGTTTGTTTTTTTCTTGCTAATTTGTTTGAGTTCATTGTAGATTAAGGATATTAGTCCTTTGTCAGATGTATGGATTGTGAAAATTTTCTCCCACTCTATGGGTTGTCTGTTTACTCTGCTGACTATTCTTTTTGCTATGCAAAAGCTTTTTAGTTTAATTCTTGCTAATTTGTTTGAGTTCATTGTAGATTAAGGATATTAGTCTTTGTCAGATGTATGGATTGTGAAAATTTTCTCCCACTCTGTGGGTTGTCTGTTTCCTCTGCTGACTATAGCTTTTGCTATGCAAAAACTTTTTAGTTTAATTAAGTCTCAGTTATTTATCTTTGTTTTTATTACATTTCCTTTTGGGTTCTTGGTCATGAGATCCTTGCCTAAGCCAGTGTCTAGGAGGGTTTTTCCAATGTTCTAGAATTTTGATAGTTTCAGGTATTAGATTTAAGTCTTTGATCCATCTTGAGCTGACGTTTGTATAATGTGAGAGAGGAGGATCCAGTTTCATTTTACATGTGGCTTGCCAATGATCTCAGCACCATTTGTTGAATAGGGTGTCCTTTCCCCACTTTATGTTTTTGTTTGCTTTGTCGAAGATCAGTTGGCTATAAGTATTTGGGTTTATTGCTGGGCGCAGTGGCTCACACCTGTAATCCCAGCACTTTGGGAGGCCGAGGCGGGAGGATCATGAGATCAGGAGATCGAGACCATTCTGGCTAACACAGTGAAACCCCGTCTCTACTAAAAATACAAAAATTAGCCGGGCGTGGTGGCGGATGCCTGTAGTCCCAGCTACTCGGGAGGCTGAGGCAGGAGAATGGCGTGAACCTGGGAGGCAGAGCTTGCAGTGAGCTGAGATCACGCCACTGGACTCCAACCTGGGCGGCAGAGCGAGACTCTGTCTCAGAAAAAAACAAAAAGTGTTTTGGTTTATTTCTGGGTTTTCTATTTGCTTCAATTGGTCTGTGTGCCTATTTTTATGCCAGTACCATGCTGTTTTGGTAATGATGCTTATAGTATAGTTTGAAATCAGGTACTGTGATGCCTCCAGATTTGTTCTTTCTGCTTAGTCTTGCTTACTTTTTATTTTTATTTTTATTTTTTTTTGAGACAGAGTCTTGCTCTGTCACCCAGGCTGGAGTGCAGTGGTGTGATCTCAGCTCACTGCAACCTCCAACTCCTGGGTTCAAGTGATTCTTCTGCCTCAGCCTCGCAAGTAGCTGGGACTAAAGGTGCGTGCCACCACGCCTGGCTAATTTTTGTATTTTTAGTAGAATGAGGTTTCACCATATTGGCCAGGTTGGTCTCGAACTCCTGACCTGGTGTTCTACCCACCTTGGCCTCCCAAAGTGCTGGGATTACAGGTATGAGCCACCATGCCTGGCCTAGGATTGTTTTTTATAGTTCTGTGAAGAATGATGGTGGTATTTTGATGGGAATTGCATTGAATTTGTAGATTGTTTTTGGCAGTGTAGTCATTTTCACAATATTGATTCTACCCATCCATGAGCATGGGATGTGTTTCCATTTGTTTGTGTCATCTGTTATTTCTTTCAGCAGTGTTTTGTAGTTTTCCATGCAAAGGTCTTTCACCTCCTTGGTTAGGTATATTCGTAAGTATTTTATTTTTTTGCAGCTATTGTAAAAGGGGTTGAATTCTTGATTTGATTCTCAGCTTAGTCACTGTTAGTGTATAGAAGAGCTACTGATTTGTGTACCTTAATTTTGTATCCAGAAACTTGACTGAATCCTTTCATCAGTTATAGGAGCTTTCTGGAGGAATCTTTAAGGTTTTCTAGGTAAACAATCATGTAATCAGCAAATAGTGACAGTCTGACTTCCTCTTTATTGATTCGGTTGCTTTTTATTTCTTTCTTTTGTCTGATTGCTCTGGCTAGGACTTCCAGTACTATATTGAAGGGAAGTGGTGAGAGTGGGCATCCTTGTGTTGTTCCAGTTCTCACGGGGAATGCTTTCAGCTTTTCTCCATTAAGTATTATGTTGCCTGTGGGTTTATAATAGATGGCTTTTATTATATTGAGGTATGTCCCTTGTGTGCCAATTTTGCTGAGAGTTTTAGTAATAAAGCAATGCTGGATTTTGCTGAATGCTTTTTCTGCATCTATTGAGATGATCGTGTGATTTTTGTTTTTAATTCTGTTTATGTGACGTATCACATTTATTGACTTGCGTATGTTAGACCATCCCTGTATCCCTGGTATGAAACCCACTTGATCATGGTGGATTATCTTTTTGATATGTTGTTGGATTTGGTTAGCTAGTATTTTGTTAAGGACTTTTGCATCTATGTTCATCAGGGATATTGGTCTGTAGTTTTCTCTTTTGGTGATATCCTTTCCTGGTATTGGTACTAGGGTGATACTGACTTCATAAAATGATTTAGTGAGGATTCCCTCTTTTTCTATCTTGTGGAATAGTGTTAATAGGATCAGTACTGATTCTTCTTTGAATGTCTGGTAGAATTCTGTTGTGAATCTGTCTGGTCCTGGACTTTTTTTGTTGGTAATTGTTTTGTTACCATTTCAATCTCACTGCTTGTTATTGGTTTGTTCAGGACATCTAATTCTTCCTGATTTAAACTAGAAGGGTTGTATCTTTCCAGGAATTTATCCATATCCTCTAGATTTTCGAGTTTATGTTTGTAAAGTTATTCATAGTAGCCTTGAGTGATCTTTTGCATTTTTGTGGTGTCAGTTGTTGTATCTCTCATTTTGTTTCTAATTGAGCTTATTTGGATTTTCTCTCTTCTTTTATTGGTTAATCTTGGTAATGGTCTATCAATTTTATTTATCTTTTCAAAGAACCAGCTTTTTGTTTCATTTATCTTTTTTTTTTTTTGAGACAGAGTTTTGCTCTTGTGCAGGCTGGAGTGCAATGGCGCAATCTCAGCTCGCTGCAACCTCTACCTCCCGGGTTCAAGTGATTCTCCTGCCTCAGCTACCCAAGTAGCTGGGATTACAGGCGTGTGCCACCACACCTGGCTAATTTTTTGTATTTAGTAGAGACGGGGTTTCACCATGTTGGTCAGACTGGTCTCCAACTCCTGACCTCAGGTGGTCCGCCCTCCTCTGCCACCCAAAGTGCTGGGATTACAGGCATGAGCCAGCGTGCCTGGCATTTGTTTCATTTATCTTTTGTATTTTGTTTTTTTGTTTGTTTGTTTCAATATCATTGAATTCTGCTCTGATCGTGGTCATTTCCTTTCTTCTGCTGGGTTTGGGTTTGGTTTGTTCTTGTTTCTATAGTTCCTTGAGGTATGACCTTAGATTGTCTGTGCTCTTTCAGACATTTTTTTGTTTGTTTGTTTTTGAGACAGAGTCTTGCTCAGTCGCCCAGGCTGGAGTGCAGTGGTGCGATCTCGGCTCACTGTGAGCTCCGCCTCCTGGGTTCACGCCGTTCTCTGCCTCAGCCTCCCGAGTAGCTGGGTCTACAGGCGCCTGCCACCACGCCTGGCTAATTTTTTTTGTATTTTTAGTAGAGACGAGGTTTCACCATGTTAGCCAGGATGGTCTCGATCTCCTGACCTTGTGATCTGCCCGCCTCGGCCTCCCAAAGTGCTGGGATTACAGGCGTGAAACACCGCACCCGGCCAGACTTTTTGATGTAGGTGTTTAGGGCTATGAACTTTCCTCTTAGCACTGCCTTTGCTGTATCCAAGAGGTTTTGATAGATTGTGTCACTGTTGTCCTTCAGTTTGAAGAATTTTGTTTTGTTTTGTTTTTTGTTTTTTGTTTTTTGTTTTTTGTTTTTAGAGGGAGTCTTACTATGTTGCCAGGCTGGAGTGCAGTGGCAGATCTTGGCTCACTGCAACCTCTGCTTCCCAGGTTCAAGTGATTCTCCTGCCTCAGCCTCCCAAGTAGCTGAGATTACAGGCACGTGCCACCATGCCCAGCTAATTTTTGTATTTTTAGTAGAGACGGGATTTTACCATGTTGGCCAGGATGATCTCGATCTCCTGACCTCATAATCTGCCCTCCTCGGCCTCTCAAAGTGCTGGGATTACAGGCGTGAGCCACCATGCCCAGCCCAGTTTGAAGAATTGTTTAATTTCCATCTTGATTTCATTTTTGAGCCAATGATCATTCAGGAGCAGGTTATTTGATTTCCATGTATTTATATGGTTTTGAAGGTTCCTTTTGGAGTTGATTTACAGTTTTATTCCACTGTGGCCTGAGAGAGTGCTTGATATAAGTTCCGTTTTCTTAAATTTACTGAGGCTCATTTCATGGCCTATCATATGGTCTATCTTGGAGAAAGTTCCATGCACTGATGAATGGAATGTATATTCTGTGGTTGTTGAGTAGAATGCTCTGTAAATATCTGTTAAGTCTATTTGTTCCAGGGTACAGTTTAAATCCATTGTTTCTTTGTTGACTTTCTGTCTTGATAAACTGTCTGGTGCTGTCGGTGGAGTCTTGAAGTCCCCCACTATTACTGTGTTAGCTACTGTTGCTTGCTTTTGGTCTCCCTTTGCATGGAATATCTTTTTCCACCCTTTTACCTTAAGTTTATGTGAGTCCTTACCTGTTAGGTGAGTTTCTTATAGGCAGCAGATGGTTGGTGAATTCTTATCCATTCTGCAAGTCTGTATATTTTAAGTGGAACATTTAGGCCATTTACATTCAACCTTAGTATTGCGTTATGAGGTACCATTCCATTCATTGTACTATTTGTTGCCTGCATAGCTTGTTTGTTTCTTTTCTTTTTTTAATTGTATTTTTGCTTTATAGGGCCTGTGAGATGTGCGCTTTAAAGAGATTGTGTTTTGATGTGTTTCCAGGATTTGTTTCAAGATTTAGAACTCCTTTTAACAGTTGTAGTACTGGCTTCCTAGTGGCGAATTCTCTCAGCATTTGTTTGTGTGAAAAGGACTGTATCCCTCCTTCACTTATGAAACTTAGTTTTGCTGGAAACAATTGTTTTGTTTAAGGAGGCTGAAGATAGGGCCCAGTCCCTTCTAGCTGGGAGGGTTTCTGCTGAGAAATCTTCTGTTAATCTGATAGGTTTTCCTTTACAGGTTACCTGGTGCTTTTGCCTCATAGCTCTTAAGATTCTTTCCTTTGTCTTAACTTTAGATAACTTGATGACTATGTGCCTAGGCAATGATCTTTTTGCAGTGAATTTCCCAGGTGTTCTTTGAACTTCTTGTATTTGGATGTCTAGGTCTCTAGTAAGTCCAGGGAAGTTTTCCTTGATTATTCCCCCAAATATGTTTTCCAAACTTTTAGATTTCTCTTCTTCCTCAGGAACGCCAATTATTCTTAGGTTTGGTCGTTTAACATAATGTGAGACTTCTTGGAGGCTTTATGTTTTCTTATTCTTTTTTCTTTATCTTTGTTGGATTGGGTTAATTTGAAAACCTTGTCTTTGAGCTCTGAAGTTCTTTCTTCTGCTTGTTTAATTCTAATGCTGAGAATTTCCGGAGCATTTTGCATTTCTATAAGTGTATCCATTGTTTCCTGAAGTTTTGATTTTTTTAATATATACTATCTATACCTATTTCATTGAAAATTTCTCCCCTCATTTCTCTCCTTCCTTCCTTCCTTCCTTCCTTCCTTCCTTCCTTCCTTCCTTCCTTCTTTCTTTTTTTCTTTCTGTTTTTTTTTTTTTTGGGAGTGTTGTGGGGGACGGAGTCTCACTGTGTCACCCAGGCTGGAGTGCAGTGGCATGATCTGGGCTCACTGTAACCTCCGCCTCCCGGGTTCACACCATTCTCCTGCCTCAGCCTCCCGAGTAGCTGGGACTACAGGCATGTGCCACCACGCCTGGCTAATTTTTTATATTTTTAGTAGAGATGGGGTTTCACCATGTTAGCCAGGATGGTCTCAATCTCCTGACCTCGTGATCTGCCTGCCTTGGCCTCCCAAAGTGCCGGGATTACAGGCTGAGCCACAGCACCTGGCCTCCCCTCATTTCTTGTATCATTTTTTTTTTGACTTCCTTAAACTGGGCTTTGCCTTTCTCTAGTCCCTCCCTGATTAACTTAATAACTAACCTTCTGAATTCTTTTTTCAGGTAAATCAGGGATTTCTTCTTGGTTTGGATCCATTGCTGGTGAGCTAGTATGATTTTTTGGGCATGCTAAAGAACCTTGTTTTGTCATATTACCAGAGTTGGTTTTCTGGTTCCTTCTCATTTGGTTAGGCTCTGTCAGAGGGAAGGTCTAGGACTCAAGGCTGTTGTTCAGATTCTTTTATCCCACAGGGTGTTCCCTTTATGTAGTCCTCTCCTGATTTTCCTAGGGATGTGGCTACCTGAGAGCTGAGCTGTAGTGACTGTTATCTGTCTTCTGAATCTAGTCACCCAGCAAGTCTACCAGGCTCCAGGCTGGTACTAGGGATTGTGTGCTCAGAGTCCTGTGATGTGAACTGTCTGTGAGTCTTTTGGCCATGGACACCAACACAGTATTTGGGGTGTCTCCTGGGTCCTGCAGGAGCAATCTGCTTCCTTCAGAGGGTCTGTGTTCTCTCTGCTTTCCTGATTTATTCTTGTAGTCATTCTAGAGCAAAAGGTCACAATGCAAGCCTCCACACTCTGCTCTGTCCGTCCCAGGGGGAGCTGCAATCTACTCCTGCCTCCCATCTGCCATGATCTCCTAATTCTCTCTGATTATTGGAGCTTTGTAGTAAGTTTTGAAATCAAGAAGTCTTCCAACTTTGTATTTTTCAAGATTCTTTTGGGTATTGTGCTTCCTTTGCTTGTCAGTTTTAGGATCAGTTTGTCAATTAATGCAAAAATCCAACTGGAATTTTGATATAAATTGTGTTAAATCTATAGATTAATTTTGTGAGTCTTGCCATCTTATTATAATAGTATTGAGTTTTCTGATCCATAAACATGGGGTATTCTGATCCATAAACATGGGGTATCTCCATTTATTTAAAACTTTAATTTCCTTTAGGAGTGTTTTATAGTTTTCAGTGTAGTATGCAAGTCTTGCTTTACCTTTCATTTTTTTAAAGGCATTTTGATGACTAAAGAATGTAAGTTGATAGTTTATTTTCTTCCAGTAGTTTCATAATATTACTCTACTGTTGGCTGGGCACGGTGGCTCACACCTGTAATCCTAGCACTTTGAGAGGGCAAGGTCGGCGGATTGCCTGAGCTTAGGAGTTTGAGACCAGCCTGGGCAACACAGTGAAACCCTGTCTCTACTAAAATACAAAAAAAACTGGCTGGGTGTGGTGGTGTGCGCCTGTAGTCCTTGCTACTCTGGAGGCTGAGGCAGGAGAATTGTTTGAACCCGGGAGGCGGAGGTTGCGGTGAACTGAGATTGTACCACGGCACTCTAGTCTGGGTGACAGAGCAAGACTCCATCTCTTAAAAAAAAAAAAAAAAAAGTATGTATATATATCTACTGTCTTCTGAGTTGCTTTATTTCCGACGAGAAATCTGCTGTCATCCTTATCTTTGTTTCTATCTATGTAATGTGTTCTCTCACCACCCCCCACCCTTTATCACTGGTTTTAAGCAAATGATCTATAGTTTTCTTCATGTTCCTTGTACTTGAGGTTTATTGATCTTCTTGGTTCTAATGATTAACTTTGGAATAAAGGACAAACTTATTATTATGTTGAGTTTTTAAATCCTTGAGTATTATATGTCTTTGTTATTTAGGTCTTCTCTGATTTCTTTCATTAGCATTTTGTAGTTTTCAGCATACATATCCTGTATGTATTTTGTTAGTTTATACTTAAGTATTTCATTTTTTAGAGTTCTCTAAATGGTGGTTTAAAAAATTTTTATTTTCACATGTTTATTGCTAGAATATAAAAATATATTACATTTTTGTCCTTTGATCTTGTATCCTGCAACCTTGCTAAATTTACATATTAGCTTCAGGATTCATTTTTTACAGGTTCCTTTAGATTTTCTACACAGACATTCATGCCATCTGTTAATAGGGAAAGTATGATGCTTCCTTTCTGATGTGTATGCCTTTTATTCCTTTCTCCTTTCATATTGCCCTGGATGAGACTCCCATCATGATGTTGGAGAGGGTAGAGACCAGATTTGGAGTGTAAAGTCATGGATTCGGCTTTTGGCCTCAATTGTCATTAAAAAAGCCATTCATTTTCAAGTTTAATTTTAGGCCTTTTCTTGTTCTCTCTGCTTAATTTTAAAATGTGTATCTTTCTACAACAGATATATTGTCTAGGTTTAATTTATTTTGTTGTGTTTCCACAGACCCCCATTTCCTCTGTTAGAGGAATTGTGATGTTACTCAAGCGCCAAGCAGAGGGTGGCCATGGTTGTCCAGATGCCCCGGCCTGTGGTCCTGTCCTGGAGGGCTTTGTGTCGAATGATCCATGCATCTACATTCAAATAGAGCACTCTGCTATCTGGGACCAAGAACAGGAGGCACATCGACAATTTGCCCGGTAAAAAATCTTCACTCATGGACTCACACCCTACTTAGATGCCTGCTTTATACTAATGGAAAGTTTTTCAAGATCCAGTTTTAATTGTTTAAACTTTTAGAAGTTTTGTGTGGGCACATGAAAATAAAATGGATCCAAGTGATAGAAATCTCTACAAATACTGGCCCTCTCTCTCCCAGAGAGTATCTGGAATGGAGTTCTGTTCTGTGGGAGCAGCCTGCTCCAGGACTTGAAGCAACTTCACAATGAGAAGCTAGGGAGAAAAGCATCAACCCCAGACCCTGAAAATCCCCTGTCACTGGCAGAGTCCCAGATGATTTTCCTTATCATACTTGTTCATTCATTCACAGCATTAGAAAACAAAGTTATCACTGCCTGCAAACAATAAATTGTCCTTAATACCACCAAGGATGGGACTAGTTTCAAAGCTCTGTCTGTGGAAAGAGGCAAGACCTGTCTCACCTCTTTGGACTGGCCCTCTTAGAATCACAGAATTTTAGAGCAGGCAGGGTTCCTCCTGCTGCCCCTTCTGGATTCTGAAAAACCCTTTCTGAGATGGATCTTGTACTCTTCCTCACTGTTTCTTTGCTTAGGTTATGCACATGACTTGGGCTTCTGCCTCAAATGGAGGTATCCACTACCTTCCCAGCCCTCTGATTTAAGGCCAGTTAGCCACCCTGGAAGATCAAGGCAGCTCCGGAGGAAGCTGGGCCCCATTACTAGCCTTTCCATGCTTCATACAGGCTCACTGGGCTCTGGGTGATTTTAGGTAACTTTTGGGGAGAAGGGGACAATGTGTGACAAACATAGCTTTCAGCTCCCAACAGAACCCTTCATTTTCTTTTTATGTAATTTTCTCTTTAAAGAACAACTGGTCAGGTCTAGTGTATGGAGATCCCTTGTGAGGACAGAGCCCTAATATCTGGATGATGTTTCTGAATTTAGTTGACGTTTTGCACTTGGACATCTAGTGGTCATTTTAGGCAAACATGTCCAGACTGAACTCCTGTCTTCCCTGGACCCTGCCTCCTGTGGCCTGGCTGTCTTAGTGTCAGCCCTCCATGAGCTTAGGCAAAAAGTCCTGGGGTTAACTCTGACTTCTCTCTACTTTCCACAAACCATATCAAGCTCTTAGCAAGTCCTATTGGCTCTGCCTTCAAGTGTAGCTAGAATCTGCCCTCTGCTCATCCACTGTGTTGCTGTTACTCGGCGCAGGTTGTTACCTCCTACTGGATCACAAGAACTTCCACACTGGACTCCTGCTTCCACCTGCCCCTTCAGTCTGTTTTCCATGCAGCACCCAGAGCTGGCCTGTTAAAGCACAAATCAGATCACATCACTTCCCTGCCCCAAACCCTCAAACAACTCCTGCTTCACTCTGAGGAAAACCCAAAATCACGGCTTTTAGGCCTTCTGGCTAAGATCAAGTGTAGAAAAGCCACAGGACCTGTGAAGGCCCTTGCCCTCAAGGTCTGCTTACTCTGGCCCCTCCACTGTCTTCAGCCTCACCCCTCCTCTCTCCCGGCCTTTCAGTGCACTCCCACCTCCTTGCTGTTCCTGACCATGTGTTACGCGCCTCTGCCCAAGGGCCTGGTGCCACCATCCCTCCCTGTAGCATTCTCCCAAATAACTGCATGGTTTGCTGCCACATTCCTTTATGTTTTTCTCTGAACAAACAAAAAGTAAACTATGAAAACACAAAAGTACATAGTAGTATATGCATCCACCCAGGCCAACATTATCAAAGGTTTTTCCTTACTTCCTTCATCTGTCTGTTTCCTGGGGCAGGGGGAGAGGACTGAGGTTAAAGAAAATCCCAACCTATTGTTTTGCCCTCTCATGACTCTAAAAACTGTGGGCTTTGTTTTGTTTTGTTTTTACAGAGCCACAGTGCCATTTTAAAACTTAACAAGTTGTATATCCAGTCCAAATTCGAAGTTACCTGATTGTCTCAAAAATGTCCTCCTACAGTTGACTTGTTGGGATCAGGACATAGCATTGGGTGGCCATGTCTCTATTTTTTTCTAATCTGGAGCATCCCTCAGCCCCTCTCCCTGTCTTGGAGGAGGTCCCATGTCCTGGATTCGTTTGTTTGCCTCATCATGAAGTTCTTTAACTTGTTCTCTCTCCTCCATATTTTCTGTAAACTGGAGTTAGCTCTAAATGCTTGATTATTGGGGTCCAACTTGTTTTGCGCAGCACTTCCTAGGTGGAGCCATAAGCTTCATACTCCATCTGTGATGCAGTTGGATGGCCAGATTTAACAAATTAAAATATAGGACACTAAATTTGAATTTCAGATAAATAACTAATTTCTTAGTATACATATGTCCCAAATATTGCATGGGACATACTTATACTAGAAGAATACATCTCTAAAAAATATGTAATTTTTTTCAGATAATAATTATTCATGATTTTTCTGAAATTCAGACTTAACTGGTGTCCTCCTGACTTCCCTTAGTGATGCAATTGGGTTGTCCCAGTCTTCATGGTGCTGAGGGGGAGCAGTGGGTTCAGGTGGTGTCAGCACGAGCCCTTCCTTATAAACTTCTCCCCCAAACTTTCCCTTAATGGTTTTGTCCTTTGATGAGGATCATCTAAATCACTTATTTAATTATGGCTAGTAAGATGGTGATTTTTCTTTTTTTTTTTTTTTTTTTTTTTTTTTTTTGAGACGGAGTCTTGCTCTGTCGCCCAGGCTGGAGTGCAGTGGCCGGATCTCAGCTCACTGCAAGCTCCGCCTCCCGGGTTTACGCCATTCTCCTGCCTCAGCCTCCAGAGTAGCTGGGACTACAGGCGCCCGACACCTCGCCCGGCTAGTTTTTTGTATTTTTTAGTAGAGACGGGGTTTCACCGTGTTAGCCAGGATGGTCTCAATCTCCTGACCTCGTGATCCGCCCATCTCGGCCTCCCAAAGTGCTGGGATTACAGGCTTGAGCCACCGCGCCCGGCCGATGGTGATTTTTCTAACTCTATCATTTCTTCCACATCTAGTGGCTAAAATTTTCTGTAAATAACTTTCCGCTACCAACTAGGCTTTTGTTTACCTTATCCTTCATGTCTTTCCTCAAGTGTTACCTTGGCTAGGAACAGTGGCTCAGGCTGAGGTGGGAGGATGGCTTGAGGCTGGAGTTTGAGACTAGCCTGAGCAACATAGTGAGACCCCATCTCTACAAAAAATTTTAAAATTACCCGGGTACAGTGGCATGTGCCTATAGTCCCAGCTACTCCAGAGGCTGATGTTGGAGGATCACTTGAGCCCAGCAGTTTGAACCTGCAGTGAGCTGTGATTGCGCTACTGCACTGTAGCCTGGATGACAGAGTGAGGCCCTGTCTTTAAAAAAAAAAAAAAAAAAAAAAAATTACCAAGCTAAAATAAATAAAAAAGATTTACCAAACTAAAAAAAAAAAAAGAATTACCTTATCAGACCTTCCTTGACCACCCAACATGAGATGGTACCCCACTGCTAACCCCACATACATGACTTTCATTTGTGTTCAGTAGTGTGTTCATTAATGTATCCCCAATATCTAAGAACAATGCTACAAAGCAGGTGTTTAATCAGTATTTATTCAATATTATCATTGAATGAATGAATGTTGAGGCTTAATTTTTATAAGTTCTAGGACAATCAAATTAATACATTGCCTCAAGTACCATAAATTGGAAATAATAATCCCAATCCTATGATTATGTCTTTGAGATTCAAAATAAATTTAAATAAATCACATTTAAATTAATACACATACTTTTTTGCACAAAACATGTTTAATAACATTTATTAAATGACCTGTGCAAGGCCTTTCACATACACACTGTCCCTTCACCTTCACATTCTCTCTGTATGTTATACCTTATTCACTCCATTTTACAGATGAGAAAGCCTCAAATCTAGCTTATATATATGTAAATATATTTGTGTGTATGTGCATATATACATGTAGATATATACATGTTTTATTTTAAGAGCCAGAGTCTCTCTTTGTTGCCCAAGTTGGAGTGCAGTGGTTGTGATCACGACTCATTGCAGCCTCAACCTCCTGGACTCAAGTGATTGTCCCTCCTCAGCAACCTTATCCCAGTAGCTAGGACTTTAGGACTATAGGCATGCACCACCATGCCTCGCTAATTGCCATTTAGCTTACAAGGTATTCTTTTTGTTGTTTGTTTTATCAAGATAAAAATCAATTAGTCTCTTATTAGCAGAAGATAGTGTAGTTGGTAGATTACCTTATCATGGAACTCTTGAGTTTCAAGGATGAAGGAGCAGCAATGGGAAGTGGGCTCCATGGCCCCAGTTCTTCTCCTTCATAAGCTCTTTACTCCATCTTGGACACCCTCCTCACCAGTCCAGCCAAGCCAAGATCTGAAGCTGTGTTATTGGCACTTTACCCTCCCTACCATCCTGGCCGCCCTTTTCAAGGGAAACCAAGGTGAAATCACATAAAGTACAAAAAGCCTACAAATGTCTTTCTGTGGAACAAGTCCAAGCAAAATCTAACTGCAGTTTGGCTAAGTGTGCAAAGCTCATTAGGCTCTTGATTTCTTTCTCCCTCAGCAATAACCAAAGAACCTCGACTTTCTGGGACCAAGAACAGGAGGCACATCAACAATTTGCCAGGTAAGAAATCTTCATTAATGTATTAATGAACATTTACTATAAAGAGGGATTGATGGCTTTGGTAGCTTAGAGTTTGGCCCTGGCAGCAGGAAGATACGGTCTCAGATCCCAGCATTGCCATTTGTTAGTCATTTAACCCTGGCCAAATTGCTTAAGCTTTTCAAGACTAAGTTTTCTCATCTGTAAAATGGTTCTAGTGCATGCCAGATAGGATCGTGATGAGGTTTCAATGCAGCAATCACTTCACACACAATGCTACGAAGTGTTCAGCATGGTATCTGGCACATGGTAAGTATTCAGTCAGTTTTAACAATTGTGAATCCCATATTCAAAGTGCTCATGGTATAATGGAGAGAACAAATGTTCAAGGTACCTTATAATAGAGCAAGTGTGCTTCCTACTGTACTACATGTGTGGGCAGGGGTACAGAAGAGATACAGAAGAGGGAGCAGCCCCCTGCCTGCGGAATTAGGGCATACCTTCCTGAAGATGGCCCTTGAACAGTTTGTGAAAACTGTGGGAAGAGAACTGTAGTCAAGAATACAGTATATGCAGTGGCCCAGGAGCAGAGCAGGACATGGCACAGCCTGGTGGTGGAGGAAAGGGAATTTAGTGCGATGAGAGAGTAGAATGTTTGAGGGGAGCTCTGGGAGAACAGGCTAGAGAGTCATCTTGGGGCCTGGCTATGAAGAGCCCAGAGTAGGTGTACCTTGCTCAGGGATGTAGGTCTTAATCTACAAGTAATGGGATGTTACCCAGGGATAAGCACTTGACAGTTTCGTGACCTTTGGTACCTTACCTCGTCTCTCTGTGTCTCGCTTTCATCATCTGTAAAATGCCGATAATAAATAATACCAACCTCTTGGAATTCTTTAGTTAATGTGTGTATGTGCTGTCAAGTGATAGCTATTCGTCGGATAGTAGTAATATTTTTCCAAGGTTGAAAGTTCCAAGTTAATGTTTAAATCAGTGAATTTCTTTTCATCTTCTAGGAACGTGCTATTTCAAACACTGAAATGTAAATGTCCTGTTATTTGTTTTAATGCCAAGGATTTTGTGAGAATAGTGCTGCAGTTTTTTGGTAATGATGGCAGTTGGAAGCATGGTAAGTTATATTTTTTGTTCTCTCTATAATTTAACTCTTCAACTGTGACTCCTCCTATCAATGGGAGAATGGTGAGGGCAGCCATGTCACACAACTCCTGGGGGACCTGGCCACACAGACTGATATGCCTCCTCATGGGCCCTAGGCATGGGGAGGAAGTTTTCTTCCATGTTTCTAGGTTATTTGAATTTTTACAAGTATACATTACTTTCATAATTTAAAATAGGAAAGAATTAACTTAAGTAGCATGGTCAGTGAGGTTTGTTGTTACCACAAATAGCTTATAAACTTTCTAAGAATTAAACTACAGTCCAGAGTAATTAACATTGAAACAATATAGGACCTACTTTTTATTTAAAATACTGAAGATTTTAAATGTGCATATATATTTTAGTTTTCTGGTTTTTTTAGAGATGGGGTCCAACTCTGTTGCCCAGGTTGGTCTCAAACTGCTGGCCTCAAGCCAACTTCCTGCCTCAGCTTCCCAAAGTGCTGGGATTATAGGTGTGACCACCGCACCTCGCTTAAAGTAGTAAAGTTTTTTTATAACTTTTTAAAAACTAGATGGACATGGCCGGGCGCGGTGGCTCACGCCTGTAATCCCAGCACTTTGGGAGACTGAGGCAGGCGGATCACGAGGTCAGGAGTTGTAGACCAGCCTGGCCAACATAGTGAAACCCCATCTCTACTAAAAATATAAAATTTAGCTGGGCATGGTGGCTCATGACTGTAATCCTAGCTACTCAGGAAGCTGAGGCAGGAGAATTGCTTGAGCCCAGGAGGTGGAGGTTGTAGTGAGCTGATATTGCACCACTGCACTCCAGCCTGGGGGACAGAGTGAGACACTGTCTCAGGAGGAAAAACAAACAAACACACAATTAGATGGACAGATAAGTGGTAAAGAAAATATAGCAAAAATATTCATTGTAGAATCTAGGTGGTGGACATACGTGTTCACTGTATAATTCTTTTCAAATTGTGTATTTGAAAATGTTCATAATAAAAGGTTGGAAAAAGCCCTTTTTATTGTCAAAAATTTCTAACATATACAAAAGTAGTCATCACCCAGTTTCAACAATTATCAATTTCCAGCCAATCTTTTTTTTTTTTTTTTTTTGAGATGGAGTCTTACTCTGTCACACAGGCTGGAGTGCAGTTGCATGATCTTGGCTCACTGCAACCTCTACCTCCCTGGTTCAAGTGATTCTCCTGCCTCAGCCTCCTGAGTAGCTGGGACTACAGGTGCGCGCCACCATGAGTGGCTAATTTTTGTATTTTTATTAGAGACGGGGTTTCACCATGCTGGCCAGGCTAGTCTTGAACTCCTGACCTTGTGATCTGCCCGCCTCGGCCTCCCAAAGTGAGCCACCGCACCTGGCTCCAGCCAATCTTTTGCTCTATAACTCCCCATACTTCCAAACTGCCACCCTCCTGAATACTTTGTAGCAAAACCCAAACATCATGTGATTCATCTCTAAATATTTCAATTGTATGACTAAAATGTGAGATTCAGTTTTTAAAACAACACCATCATCTCTACCCACCCCCAAGGAAATTAGCCAATAATCTTTTTCTCTTTTTTTCCTTCTAAAAATTTTACTGATTCATAATAGATATACATTTTTTGGGGGGACTTGTGATATTTTGATATATTCATATAATGTGTAATTTTAATAATCAAATCTGCATAATTGGGATATCTATCACCTTAAACATTTATCTTTTCTTTATACTGGGAACATTTGAATTTTCCTTTACTAGCTATTTTGAAATATACAATAGATTATTATTTACTATAGTCACTCTACTGATTTACTGAACACCAGGTCTTCTTTCTTCTACCTAACTATATATTTGCAACTGTTAATCAACTACTCTTAATCCCACCCACCACCCCCTTACCCTCCCTGACCTCTGGTAACCACCAATCTACTCTACCTTCATGAGATCTGCTTTCTTAGCTCCTGCATATGAGTGAGAATCTGCGATATTTGTCTTTCTGTGCTTGGCTTATTTCACTTAACATAATGACCTCCAGTTCCATCCATGTTGCTGCAAGTGACAGGATTTCATTCTTTTTTATGGCTGAATAGTAATTCCATTGTGTAAATATACCACATTTTCTTCATTTATCTGTTGATGGACACTCAGGTTAATTCCTTATTTTGGCATTGTGAGTAGTGCTGCAGTAACATGGAAATGCAGATATTGCTCTGATATGTTGATTCTTTTGAATATTTTGATTCTTTTGAATATATACCCAGGAGTGGGATTGCTGGATCATATGGTAGCTCTATTTCATTTTTTGAGGAACCTACGTACTGTTTTCCATAGTGGCTGTACTAATTTACTTTCCTACCAGTAGTGTATGAGGGTTCCCCTTTCTCCATATCCTCACCAATATCTGTTATTCCCTATCTTTTTGATGAAAGTCCTTTTAAATTGGGGTGAGATGATATCTCATTGTGATTTTCCTTGCGTTTTTCTTATGATTAGTGATATTTAGCATTTTTAAATATTCTTGTTGGCCTTTTGTATATCTTCCTTTCAGAAATGTCTATTCAAATACTTTGCCTGTTTTAAATCATGTTTCCCCCTGTTGAACTGTTTGAGTTCCTTTTATATCCTGGTTATTAATCCCCTACCAGGTAGATAGTTTGCAAATATTTTCTTCCAGTCTGTGAGTTGTCTCTTCACTCCGTTGTTTCCTTTGCTGTACAGCTTTTGCTTGATGTAATTTCATTTGTCTATTTTTGCTTTTGTTGCCTATACTTTTGAAGTTTTAGTAGAAAAAAAAAAAAAAAAAAGTCATTGCCCAGACAAATGTCCTGGAGCATTTTCCCAGTGTTTTCTTCCAAATGTTTCATAGTTTCAGGTTCTTCGATTTAAGTCCTTAATCCATTTTGATTTGATTTTTGTATATGGTGAGAGATAGGAGTCTAGTTTCATTCTTCTGCATGTGATTTTCCCAGCACCTTTCCCCAATATATATTCTTGAAGCCTGTCAAAAATGAATTGGCCGTAAATGTGTTGATTTATTTCTGGGATCTCTATTCTGTTCCATTGGTCTATGTGTCTGTTTTTATGTCAGTACCATGCTGCCTTTGTTACTATAGCTTTGTAGTATAATTTGAAGTCAGGTAGTGTGATTCCTCCAGCTTTGTTATTTTTGCTTGTGATTGCTTGGCTACTCAGGGTGTTTGGTTCCATACAGATTTTAGGCTTTTTTTGTCCTATTTCTTTTTTTTGTTTTTTGAGATGGAGTCTTGCTCTGTTGCCAGGCTGGAGGGCAGTGGTGTGATCTCGGCTCACTGCAACCTCCACCTCCTGGGGTTCAAGCGATTCTCGTGCCTCAGCCTCCCAAGTAGCTGGGACTATAGGCACCCGCCACCACGCCTATATTTGTATTTTTAGTAGAGACAGGGTTTCACCATGTTGGCCAGGATGGTCTTGATCTCCTGACCTTGTGATCCGCCCACTTTGGTCTCCTAAAGTCCTGGGATTACAGGCGTGAGCCACCGCGCCTGGCCTTTTTGTCCTATTTCTATGAAGAATGTCATTGGTATTTTGATGGAGATTTCATTGACTCTTTGATTGCTTTAGGTAACACAGATTTTTTTTTTTTTTTTTTTTTTTTTGAGATGGAGTCTCTCCTTGTCACCCAGGCTGGAGTGCAGTGGCACGATCCTGGCTCACTGCAAGCTCCGTCTCCCAGGTTCACACCATTCTCCTGCCTCAGCCTCCCGAGTAGCTGGGACTACAGGCATCTGCCACCATGCCCGGCTAATTTTTTGTATTTTTCATAGAGACGGGGTTTCACCATGTTAGCCAGGATGGTCTTGATCTCCTGACCTCATGAGCCACTGCGCCCAGCCGGTAACATTGATATTTTAGCAATGTTAATTCTTGCTTTCCCTCACTTTTATTCTACGTAAATCTGTATAAGTATTTCCTTATCCATTCAGCCATTCCATGACTTTTAATTGAAACATTTAGTCCATTTACATTCAATATTATTGGTAGGTGAGGACTTATTTCTGCCATTTTGTTACTTGTGGTTAAGTGATTTTCTCTGGTAGGATCTTTTTAATTTGTTGCTTTTGTGTGTGTGTGTATTTATTGTAGGTTTTTGCTTTGTGGTTACAAAAACCGATAATATATACACTACAAATAAAAAGGAGGCTTACCAAAAAATCTTGTAACAAATTATTTTAAACAGATGACAACTTACCTTTATTTACAAAGAAAAGAATAGAAACAAACAAATAAAGGAAAAACTAAAAAACCTCTACACTTTAATTCCACCCCCTACACACATTTTGACTTTTTGTTGCCTCAATTTATGTGTTTTTATATGGCCCATCTCTTAACAGGTTGCCATAGCTGTTACTGCTTTTTATAGATTTATATCTTTTAATCTTCACACTGGAGTTATGAGTGGATTGTATACCACAATTACAGTGTTAGAGTATGCTGAGTTTGTGTATTTACTTTTACTAGTGGGTTTCAATCCTTCAAATGTTTTCTTTTTGTATGTTTGTGTTTTTTTCTTTCAGATTGAAGAACTCCTTTTAGCATATCTTGGAAGACGTATCTGGTGGTGATGAATTTCCTCAGTTTTTGTTTGTCTGGGGCTTTATTTCTTTTTCATGTTTGAAGGATAGCTTTGCTGGGCACAGAATTCTTGGTTGGCAGTTGTCTTTTGTTTTCCTTTTTATTGGGTGGGGGGGGGGGTGGGGAGATGGGGTCTCACTGTGTCACCCAGGCTGGAATGCAGTGGTGCGATCATAGCTCACTGTAACCTCAAATTCTTGGGCTGAAGTGATCCTCCTGCATCAGCCTTCCAAGTAGTTGGGACTACAGGTGTGTTCTACCACACCCAGATAATGTTTTTATTTTTATTTTGTAGAGACAGGGGTCTCACAATGTTGTCCTGGCTGCTGTTGAACTCCTAGCCTGAAGCAGTCCTCCTTCCTTGGGCTCCCAAAGTGTTGGGATTA